AGATCTTGTACAGCTCTAAAGCAAGAAAATATTACTATAATGCACCCTGTTACATATTAAACATGTTAAAATCAGTGTCATTTATTTAGTGGCAGTATCACAAGGCACAAAACTTGGAACCAGAGTTGCACTTCTAAAATTACTAAATACCTGAGACTATGTGGCATTTTTTCCAAGTGTAGGATTTAACAAATCCTTGTTACTTGTTTCATGACTTTAAAATTATTTTTTCCATAATTTTATTGGGAAATAAATAGCAATGAGACAGTTGCAAATCAAATTGGTAGGACAGTTCCAATAATTAACACATTGCATACTGTCTTCCTAGTGGTTATTTGTTGTACAAGATGCAGACATGATATCCTATTTACAAACACTATTACAACAAATCCCTCTATTCCTTGAATTAAGAAAATGTAGCTATATATCTATCCTAACCATTTTGAATACACAGATACAAAATGGTCATTCACCTGTATTCCCTTCTTTTTGTTTAGTTCTGTCATTTAAATATTATAGGTGTGTGAACACAGCAAAATATTTCAAAATAGTCCAGTAGTCCATAATAGTACTGGGTCTTCCACCTGACTAGCAATGTCAGAAGTTGTTGACCTGAGTCCCCTACAGCCCAACATAACAATATGGCTTTACTTCTTATACTTTGTTTTTATACTTTTCTGCTGGATGGTTAAAACCAAGATAAAGCAAGACCTATGTAACAATTGTAGCTTTTGGATCTGATAAGGTCAGTGAAATCCCCTCAGGATTTATCCTGAGATCCCGTACCTCAGATTGTGGATCTTTTGTCAGTGTCAGCCATGTGGATGAGTCTCGGCCATTGCTTCGCCAATTTGCTCTCTGTGACAGCCTGAGAGAATGTTTTCTCTCCCTGTGACTCTCCTTAGGCACACTCTACATCATCAATCACTCTCCTCTTTGGCCCCATAATCTCCTTGATCAGAAAATTTGGGACACAACTGAGTTACATGAGGTTACATGACTTTAAAATTAAAATTAGACAAAACAAGGCAAAATAAAGTTTGCGTGCTAACTCTGCTAACTTGGTTCTCCAACCCTCAGAAAGTTATTTATGTCTCTAAATTTTATTTTCCTCGTATGTAAAACGGGACACATACAAGAAAATTACACAAAAATCAAATGTCACCATTTTAGGAATATAATGCCTACACGAAACAGGAATTTCATTGTTTTCTCCCATTATCCCTACAGGAAAAGTGAAATTAAAACAAACCTAAAAGATTGGTATGGTGGAGCACATGCTTGCAATTCTAGCCTTCTAAGGGGCTAAGGGAAGAGGATCCCAAGTTCAAATCCACCCTGGACAACTTTAGCTATGTACTCAGACCCTGTCTCAAAATAGAAAAAGGGCTGGGGTGTGGCTCAGTGGCAAAAGCTCTGGTTTGAATCCCTAGTACTGCAAAATAAACAGATTGATTTTCCAGATTCCTCCCTCTACAGGATCGGCACATAGTTCAGTGGCCCAAGCACCTGCCTGGCAAGTACAAGGTCCTGAGTTCAACTCCCTGCACTCCTCCTCCTCCTCCTCCTCCTCCTCCTCATAATAATAATAATAATGTTAAAATAGTAATAAAAATATTCAAAAAAGATTCCTCTTTCTATATTTGGAAGACTAGAATCGATCTATAATGACCCAAAGGCAAATCCTTACTAGTTTGCTTGAGAATAATTAGTTGGTGAACAAAGCTTATTTTCTTTCATTTCACCCTGTACTAGGGACAGAACCCAAGGAGCATTGAACTACATTCCCCAGACCTCTTTTTTAAACTTGACTTTGAGTCTCTGACTTACTAAATCTTCCTGGCTGCCCTCAAACTTGACAGCCTCCTGCCTTAGGCCTGGCTATATAGCATATTAATTTTTGTCTCAGTTCTTCAAATTGGGAACAGAAAACAGTGATGAACTGCTAAGTGCTTAAACTGATCAATTCAAAATTCAGTATTTGATACTGTTTTACACTCAAAACTCTAAGCCCCTTACAAACTTCCTGAAGAGAGGAACTATGGTACCAACATGCGGGGAGAGGCCATCAGACCAGCAGAAACAGTGACTCGAGCCTAGAAGTGGTTTGTTGTCTTTTTACCTTAAATTGGTTAAATGCTTAGAAAACAAATGTTTGGGTGAGTTAAGACCTAACCCTTCAATTGAGGGTGCGTTAGTAATCTGATAACCCAGATTAAGCAAATACCATTTTTCAGTACATGTGGTTTCAGTCCCTACCAATTAACAACTCAGACATTTCCAAGATGAAAGCAGGCCTGATAAAGTGGCTCAACTGGAGAAGATACTACAGTGAGACCATCCTTTCTTTTACCCTAAGTTCAGAACCAAGTAGCCCCTAGTAGCTCACACCTATTGAATGATCTTTACCCTCCTAATTCTAAAAACAATGCTCATTTTTTAGGAATTTTTTTAATAAAAGGTATTTTAAAATCACTTAGATTCCAGCCAATGATTATCAGGTTATAAGGGGACCCACTATCATCTTTCCTGTGAATTACAAATTTGATCATAATTGTGATCATATAGAATACTTAAATTTGTAGAAAGTAACTGTCACTAAGCATGATTACAAGCCCATATCTTAGTATCTTGCATCCAGCCTTACTAAGACTATATACACATTTCTTTTGTCTCTAGCTCAATAGTTTCTTTCCAGTGTTTTCAGTCAGCTAAACATAGTTGCTTAATGAACATTTTTTTCTTCTTTAAAATTCTTAGGGGGCTGGCCAAATAGCTCAGTGGATTAAAGCACCTGCTTAGGCAGACTCAGGGGTCGGAGGTTCAATCCCCAGCATGCCATGCTGGCCCCACCCCTGAGGTGCACTGAGACAGCAATGGAGGCGATTCAGACTGGTTGTTGTGGCACACGCCTATAATCCCAGCTCTTGGGAGGTTGAACACAGGCGGATCACTATGAGCCCGATCTACATAGTGAGACCTTGTAGACCCTTACTAAAGTACAAAATTAATTAATTAATTAAATAAAATTATTTGGTTATAGGTTTCTTGAAATAACTTATTGCACAGTACCTCCAGACATCTCTCCAAGTAATTTTTCCCCCTTTACTGGCTGTCTTTAAAATCTCTTTAAAATTGCTCAGGCATGACCTCTGGATTTTGTCTATTATGAGTCCTTGCACTTAGCACAGTGCCTAGAATCCTGCACATGCTCAGTTAAGGTTCACTGGCTAACTTTACCAATCCTGACCCACATACATATTTGGGCCAGTTAGATGTCTCTGAATCTCACGTCCTTCACCTATAAAGTACAAACAATCAAAAGGTGATGCTATCTGGAAAGCTCCAAACTGTGTCTGGCACACAATAGTGTCCAATAAGGTTTGCTGTTACTATCAATATGATATGACTCAAAAATATTTCTGAATATCATACTTATTTTCACTACACTCTTATCAAAAATATTTTGTGCATTTTACTGCCTACTTTCAACACATCGACTGATCTAATTTTTCTCTGCTACCTACCACAAAAAAACTATCATTTACCAACTAAAGTTGCACAAAATTTCTGGCTGATTCCCACAATCCTAAATGTTCACACAAATGTTCAACTCTCTTTAAAAATCATTTTTCATTTGTGATTCTTACCCATAATTATTTATATCATGTCCAACTACTGGACTGTTGGTTTAATCTTTCAATAACCTATACCCCAACTCCTAGTTCCAATAATGGCTCAAAACTCATTTTTTTCAGGAAATCTTTCCTAATTATCTCCACACCAGCAGGATAATTTCTCTGTTCCAAGAGCCCTCAGCACTTAGGTATTCTGTTGTATTAAAAGTAACATGTGATCACAGAAAAACCAAGAAAAGCTTCTACAAAATTATTTCTACATCCCGAAGAATGATCCATTATCTAAATGTTTTGTTCATCTAGTGAACAAGCAAACATCCTACACAATAACTGCTCTCTAGTTTTTGTCCTTAAGAATGTAACATTCATAATTCTTTTGTCCTACTCTCCAACATAAATTAGCCCTAACATCTAAATCTGTCGGTGATAGTGTGCACCTTTCCTACCACCACTTCTTTCCCCCAACCTCTACCCACACCCAAAAAATGAACAGTCCAAAAACTTCAAACAGAAAGATGGTAGCAGTGATACAAAATTGCCAGCCTTTCCTTCTTGAGTGAAAAGGATTTTGATTCCATTTAGTTACAAAACTTCTCAATGCTGAGAAATTTCTCAAACAAGATAACACATAATCAAATTCCACTGCCTCAAAAAAGTTAAGCCTACAGAATAACAGAACCATAATTGCACATGAATTCTGCTCCACCCTAAGAAATCTTACATCATTTTTATGCTGTATTACACATACTTAACAAGATCATTGAAGAACTTCCCCGTAGGGCAGATTTTCCAAAACTATCTACTGAAGCATATTCTACTTTTTCATGTAAAGAATTAAACTACTGCTCATTGCCATCCAATCAAAAGCAAACTATATCAGTTTGTTTTCTGAGAAGCTAAGTCTGTGCACTGCTGAGGCCAAACAAATGCACTCTCACATGAGTGGAAAGAAGGGTGAGAAAAGGCAGGAGATCAACCTTAACAGTGAGAATTACCACTTCAGAGGGATGGCCCATCACGGGTTGGAAATGAATCAATCAATCTGGCCCCTACCGAGGGCTCCCCTGGACACTGCTCTTGTTCAACTATTCATGAAAAAATCACAGCTTTCACCTGTCACACATAAACTTACCTCTCTCGCTAGCTGTATACTTTCTAAATGGCCAAATGACGCCTCCTAGTGAACCTCTACCTCACACCACAGCCAACACCTCTGCCCCCCCCCCGCCCCAGTCACCTTCCGGTTTCAGAGGCGCGCCTCGAACTCCAGATCCACGTGTTCCCATTGGTCCAGAGACCCTAACCTTCAAATCCCAAGCCTGCTGCCCCTCAGTCCCCTGCAGAGTTCCCCCAAATGCCTACCGATGCCTACCTTCCGAGAAAACACACTCCCAGCCCCGTGCCTTCTTCCTGGACACACTCTTCTGAGCATCACCTCTCTCCATGACTTTCTTGGTCTCCAGCAACCGGAATCCTCCCCCACACAGGCCTCCGTTTGCCGCCACCCTTACTTCTGCACGCGAGCCGGCTCCCCCTTAACCACCCGGCCCACCTTCGCCACCTCTACGCGGTCTCCCACCCCGGGCGGCGCCCCGGGCTCCGCGACCGGGGGCCAGGCCCCTCACCACGAAGCCCTGGCTGTCCCGGCTCCAGGAGGGCGGCGGCCCGGCCACGCCGCGCAGGGACCTTCGGGGCCGAGGAGGGCGCCCCCGCTCCGGGCAGGCGAAGCGGAGGGAGAGGGCGGGGGCGGGGCGGCGGCTCCACCTCGGCCCTGCCTCCGGCTCCCGCGGCCGCTGCCCGGGCCAGACACAGAAGAGCCCGCAGCCCAGCTCTGCAGCGGCGCCCCCGCCTCTCACCTAGACACAGAGGTTCGGGCCTCGCGGTTTCCTGGCACCTCAGCGAAAGCTGCGTGCCGCCGCCTTTGGGCTCTCCTCACTCGCCTTTCCACCGCCCCCGACCGGCTGCTGTAGAGCGGACGGATAGCCGCCCGCCCATTGGCCGTGGCCTACGATTGCGTCATCAACTCCGACCGCTCCTCGGCACGTAACTGGCTGGCGCGGCGCCCCCCTTCCACGTCCGCTCCCGATTGGCTGTCTTTCGCACCCTCGCGGGGAGGACCACTCACCCTCGTCCCAGCTCCGGCCTTCCACCCCCCCCCAGCTACTTTCCAGCGGGGAGGGAGGGGGCGGGAGCGAGCGCCAGTGAGACGCGAGCGGCCAATGGGGGCGCGGAGAGAGGCCCGGGAGGTGGGCGCCGCGGCGGCCGCGGGGGAGAGCTCAGCCAATGGGCGCGTGCCCCACATCCTAGGCCCGGCAGCGCCATCCCTGGCCGCTCGAGTCCCCCGGGTCGCGCCCAGCGCCACGCCCGACTGCCCCGGGCTCTAGCGGGGCGCCTACGGGAGAGGTGCGGGGCGCGCTGCCAGATCGGAGCGGGCGCCGGCCGGCGAGGCAGCCATTGTGTCGTCTCCCGGAATGCCTGCGTGGAGCCTGGCGCGCCTCTTGGGGGGACCCCGGGGTGCCCTCAGAACTACTGGGTCGGTGAGGGCGGAGCCATCCCTCGACCCGGGAGTCTCGCGGTGAGCAGCTGTGGTCGGGAGGACCCGATCCGGAGTATCATAGGTACGCGGCACTGTAGGCCAAATCATTCCACTTCCCACTTCCTCCAAAACTTAAAGAGATGGGGAGAGAAGTTAGAATAATGGTTACCTCACAGGGAGGTTGTGTGGGAAGGAGAGCGAGGGATCTCAACTGAAAGTGGAAACGTTCTCTTCCTTGATCTGGGTGGTAGCTGTAGGGGTGTGCTTAGGCAGAGATTCACTCTGCTCTACGCCTAGGTTAAGTGCGCTCTGGCCACTTCTTGAAGAAGTAACTCAATTTTTAAAAGATTGCGAGGGTCATCAGTTATCCAGTACACTCAGTCCCCGTCCCCATCAATACTTGGCCAGCTCTAAAGATCTACAAGTCGCTGAATGAGAGAGGATTTAAGAGAAGTGAAAATGGTGGAAGATCGTGGCACGGTGAATAACAGACATTGGTTGGAAATTCAGGATGGGCCAGGCTGGCTGATTTTTCTTGAGAGAATTAAGAGTTAAGTGCATGGCCCTGTTAATAGCACAAAAGCATTCAGTGCTGACTCCAGTTGGAAACTACAAAAGCCTACCTACTTTAGGGCATACTTAAATTCAGAGCTCGGGACACGTAATTTGCCCTCGAGAAATGAGCCACACAGCCATTACACAAACACAAAGTTAACACAGTTTATCCTCAGGGATGACACATCTACTATGTTAGGCATAACGTAGAGTGTGGACCTAAAATCCAGTCTCTTAGCTGAGTTGTGAAATAGCCAGGGTCAGGCAAAGCACTTAAAGTGGTTTAATTATATCCCAGCGTCATAGTTACTTTCCTCATTGCAGACACACAATACCCAACACCCATACCCTAAGGAGGAAGAGTTTATTTTGGCTCACAGTTAGCAGAGGTTTCAGTCCATAGTCCACTGGCTCCAAGACAGGGCGGCTTGGTAGTGGGACATGGCAGAGGAAAAACTGCTTGTGGCAGGGAGATATATACCCTTCCTGGCCATGTCCCTGGAGACCCGCCTTCTCCCACCAGACTTACCTCCTGAAGTTACATTTAGCTACAAACTGACCAAAGGAATGCCCCCATGATCCAGTCATCTCCCCCAAATCCTACCTGTGATCACATGACTGTGAGAGGACGTCTAGATATAAAGCATAGCACACCTACCAGAAAATATGCTTGGGGCCATGCTGGGCACAGTGACTAAAAGCTGTAGTCCCAGATGTTGGAGGCTGAGGCTTGAGGATGGAACATAGCAAAATTCCATCCCCAAAACCAGAAACTCCAAACCCAATTCTAGATTATAAAAGAACATCAGGATAAAGATTACAGCGTTGGTTTTTATTTGGTCATTAATTTGTTCAGTTCCAGTGATAGTTTTGGTTTAAACACTAAACAGGCACATGAAGTCAGGTGTGGCAATTCCAGAACATGAATGTAATGAGATGACAGTTGCTTCCATTGTGCTTTATCTTTACAGGTTCCATGGTAGCTGTTGCACATCCAAAGTGTTTTGACAACACTGAAGGGAATGTAACTCTCTTTGTCATTGCTGTGGAGATCTCACCACAGATATCTAGAATACATCAGAGTTACTGTCATAGAGTGTTTATAGTTGCAGACAACTTTCCTCAAGTGAGCTAAACTCTTGTCAGGGCATTTATTCTCTACAGTTTATTTGATAATCTCTACCTTGCTCTACACATATTTATGCTATTCAAAATTGGTCTTCCTTAAAACTATTTTTTAAATCTTTTGTTTATTTATTTGGTGCAAGGTCTGGCTACACAGCTCAGACTCAAGTGATTCTCTTGTCTCAGCCTTCCCAGCACTGACAGACATGAGCCACCATGCCCAGTTTCAGTGGCACAGCATGCTATACAATGGTCCTTCACTATGGCAGAGGTTGCATTCCAGGTACCCCCCGATAAGTGAAAATCAGCAAAGTGCCAACATTTATTTTAGTATTTATATATGTTTTAAGGCTTTCTAAGCCCTTCCCATACTCTTATAAACCTTTCCCACACTTGTAAAAACACTTCATTTCCTAAACTCATAAACCTCCATAATTTTAACAACTTATATATACTGTATAGTACTGCAAAATCCCATGATATAGTAAAAAATCTGCAATAAATAATTTAGATTAATATTTTTTGAAAACCCACAGAACAGTGAGTCTGCAAACATTAAGCTGCAAAATAGCAAAGGACTACTATACTGGGGATCGAACCCGGGGTCCTTCCCAGGCAGGCATTTAGACCACTGAGTTATCTCCCCAGCCCTAAAACTATCTTTAGACTATTAGTAAAATCACAAATAACAAGAAGTAGAGTTTCTAACATTCCCGCTGATACATCAATTAATTGCTAGTCTGGCCAAGTACACAGAAGTCCCACACCTCTGGAAAGAGAAACTACTTTGGGTGTTTCAGAGATCTATGAAATAAGTGGGTTTAATACAGAGGTGAATAATCTGACCTTCAGACCTACAGGCTTAATCTAAGTGGAGCAAACTGGAGCTTCTAGGTTTCTGGCTCTTCTAATGTGCTGTGCATTCTGATCAAATTTCTCTTTTCAGCTGTCTCCTCTAGACCTTGGTCATTGATAATTGCCCCAGAGCTAGTTAGCTCTCAGGTCTTGAGAGGAAGAAGCATAGTATTTACAGTATTTCATTCAGCTGTGTCTGTTACCAGTTTTCCAAATACCACAGCAAGAAGAAAACACTCTTGTGATCCGTTTCTTTCCCCACATGATTAGAATGTCACAGTTCTGCCCCTTTTGTGGGTGGCATTATCATGGCTTAAACCACATTGAGCACAGTGGTTACTATATAGAATCCCAAGATGTGGGGTTTTTTTTTTTTTCCTTTTACTGTCTGTTTCTTCTTTTTATTTCTTTCTAGAGATTTACACCCTGTGTATATGAATTAAAACAGAGCTGCAACAGATGCCCAGATCTGAGTCTCCCTCGTTTGTCTTTTTATTCTACCATTAGTGTGTCCAAGGTGTAAGCCACCTTCCGTGACTTGCCTATTTCCTGTTCTTTGAGGGGTGCTTCTTGAGAACACTGACAAGGTCAGGATGCCTAATCTTCTAGGGTAAGTCTAAGACATATTGCAGAACTCACCTACAAGCTGGAAAAGCAGCCAACCACACCTATGTGTAAAAAAATTGTTAGTGTCTACAAAGAAAGCTATGGCGATGTGAGGAAATAAAACATATTTGACTTGGTCACTAATCTCTTACTGCAGAGTGGAAAGTACAAAGATTAGAGTTTCTCCCTAAGCAAAGCCATTGAATCAGTTGTGTTAGTTACTTTTCTCATTGCTGAGACAAAATACTCATCGTCCACAAGTTAAAGGAAGAAAGGTTTATTTAGCTCTGAGTTTGTAGAGGTTTCAGTCCATAATCGGCTGGCTCCAAGGCAGTGTAGGATGGAAGACAAGCATCACGGAGGAACAACCCACTGTGGGCAGAAGCAAGCAAGGGACCTTAGCAGCTTCTTCCTGCCCCTTTTATTCTCTACTAGACTAGGGTGGTGCCAAATCTAACTGATTTAGTAACCACACGTTCTTAATCCTAGCATCACATACTCTGAATCCAGACACCTCTGTAAAAGCCCTACCTATGGGGCTGGTGAGATAGCTCAGTGGTCTAAAGCACCTGCTTAGGCATGCTTAGGCAGGTGCAAGGGACCCTGGTTTGATCCCTGGCACCACATTTCATGCCAGCCTTTCAGGGCAGATTGAGCTGACCAAAAAAAAAAAAGCCCTAATTATGACCACACAGGGAGACATCTAAGTACAAATGGTAACATCATACCAACATGACATTTTTTAGAGCGGTCAGTGCTGGCTTTCTGTAATGAAATTGGTAATAGTTGATTTGAGAAAAGCACTGTGATTAAGGATCCTGAATCTGGAACTCAATTCCTAGGTACAGAATATCACAATTATTGCTTACTACTTACATGACCTCACGTAAGTTGTTTTACCACTGTGCCTCAGTTTCCTGGGTCTAACAGAGGTCCCAACTTCCAAAGGGAGCTTTGTAGCTGAGTGTTTTAAAGTGATTTTTGACACATGGTTATCCCTATCTAAAATATTGATTGAATCTTAAGAAAAAAGTAAAGTACTTGCCCAAACCAATAATAAATTCTACCTCTATTTTTGTAATATATAAGGAAACCTTATAGATATTATTTTTAAGCCTCACAAGGATTAGTATCTCCATTTTAATTTGGCTGAATTGCTTATGATCACATAACTAGTTGGGAGTTCTAACCTAGGTATTTCTAATTCCAAGTTTTTGCCTTTTCACTGCACAAAATTGCCTCCCAAAACATCTTAGCTTCCATCCATTGTTCTTATGACTCTCAAGCTGGGGATATAGCTCAGTGGCACAAGCACCTGCCTGTCAAGCACAAATTCCTGAATTTGATTCCTAGTACCAAAAAACAAAAAAGAAGTGTTCTTACGACTCTAAATGCTGTCCATTTATTTATAACCATATTATTTCAGAATTGGTCTTAAGAGTTACTTTGCCCATTCCCTCTTCCTTTCATAAATAATCAAATTAACAGTGTCAGAAGCTCAAAGATAATTAAAACAAAAAGATCAGAGACTTTCCCAAGGCTTCTTAATAACATAAGTAGCTCTTGAATACTGGCCAACCATTTGCTGATCAGAAAAGAAACAAACATTTATATTACTTATCACAGGGTCTTTCACATAGTAATCAGTCAACATTGGCTTCTGTGGTCATTGTTCCCCTAGTCATTCATTCAGCAAACAAGCACATACTAGGCATTCTTACAAACCAGGCAGCTGGGAATGGAAGAGTGAACAAGAAATAATTTCTCTTAAAGCTCACGCTCACACTGGAGTATGGATGCTGGTAGCCACATATGAGTACTGAACTCTTATAGTCTTGTTCAGATAGAGATGCCAAGCATAAAATCGCTAAGGGTGCTTGCTTTAGCAGCGCATATGGTAGAAGAAAAAAAAAAAGTACCCTGCTAGTAACTTACTAAAAA